CAATGGAAACGTTCCCCAGGTTAATTAAACTCACCGAGTGTTAATCATACCTGTGCATTAATTAGGAAAAGCACTGGGAGGCAGAGCGGGGACGTGGATCCCGGGAGGGAAGAGGAATTCCCTGGATTGGGTGGAAACAACTTTGCCCGAGCAGGAGTGGCTCCAAAATTCCCTCCTGCTCCCCGGGGAGATCCCACCCTCACTTCCAGGAAATTCCCATCTTTTTTGGGTGATTCCCTCTCTCCCATCCTGATCCCCCACTCCTGGAGCAGCACCCCGAGCCCAAAAATCCCAAATCCCGCACTCCCCAACCCATCCTGCCTCCAACTCTGCTAAACACCGGGATCAGCTGCCAGGAAAGTAAAACCAAAACACCTAAATCTCCTTTTTTTTTTTTTTTTTTTTTTTTTTTTTTTTTTTTTTTTTTTTTTTGTTTTGGTTGTTGTTGTTGTTGGGTTTTTTTGAGGTTTTTTTTTTTGGCTTTAAAATTTTTTTTTTTTCCTTATTTCCAGCAGGATTTCTGCAAGTTCCCAGCCCCGCTCCCGGGAATGCTGGGCTGCAGCATTCCAGCTGCGATCACACCGTGTCTCTTCCCATCTCGTCACATTCCCTCCTCGCCGGGATGAATCATCCTTCCCCTCCCCTCCCCTCCCTTTTCTTCCCAAACATCCACAGGCACAACAAATCCCAGCCCTGGTGGCCCCCTTCCCTTCAGCGTTCCCGTCACATCCACAGGGAAAAGTCAGGAGCAGCTTCCTGGTTTTGGAATTAAAATCCAGCCCTGGGAGAGGCTGGAAAGGATCAGTCCCAAAATTTAAAAAAAAATAAAAAAAAAAATAAAAAGAGCCAGGAGATGCTGCTGAAATTCCAAAATTCCCTAAATTCTGGGAGGTGCTCCGGGAATGAATCACCAGAAGCACCCAAAATCCTGGGATTGCTGCAAAAGTTGGATTTATCTCCCAGTTTGGAGGAGGAGCTGGGTGGGGACAGGAGGGGCTGGCGGTGACTTTTCCCTCTCCAGGTCACATCCAGGTGGGATCAGCACATTCCAGACCCAAAGTGGCCTTGGAAAACTCGGTGTAAATCTCTTGGAATTCCAGAGGAAAACATCCCGACCGTGAAAAACCAAGAATCAGGAAAACGGGCACTCCTTAGTGTGAAACCATCCCTGAAGAGGGAGAGGAAGAATTTTGGAATTTTGGGAGGGGCTGGGAGAAAACCAGGCACTCGGGAAGGTTCTGGAAAGTGGGAATTGGGCTGTGGGGAAGGAAAAACGGTGTGAAAAGCAGGGAACGGGATTTAAGGAGACAGGGATGAAGGGAGGGAGGGAAGAGGGTGCGGGAAGGGAGAGAGCAGAGGAGAAGCGACAGCGCCCGGCCCACAGGGTGGGAATTTTCTCACCCAGGGATGAAGGGAGCAGCGAGGATCCAGAGCAGCGGGAAAAGACGGGAATTTCATCCCTGAGGAAAGGCTGTGACCTCCCAGAGCTGGCACCATGCTGGGCACGTCCTCCGTGCCCACGGGACAAATTCTGGACCACGGAGAGACCCTGGGAAGAGGGAGCCTGGGAAGGGGGATTTGGGAAAAGGGATTTGAGAAGAGGGGTTTGGGAAGGTGGGATTTGGGAAGAGGGAGACTGGGAAGGGGGATTTGGGAAAAGGGATTTGGGAAGGGGGATTTGGAAAGTGAGATTTGGGAAGGCAGAGCCTGGGGAGGGGAATTTGTGAAGTGATATTTGGGAAGACGGATTTGAGAATAAGGGTTTGGGAAAAGGGATTTGGGAAGGGGAATTTGGGAAGTGAGATTTGGGAAAAGGGATTTGAGAATAAGGATTTGGGAAGGGGGGAATCCTGGGAAGGGGGACTTGGGAAGGGGGATTTGGGAATGGGGGATTTGGGAATGGGGGATTTGGGAGAAGGTATTTGAGAAGAAGGATTTGGGAAGGTGGGATTTCAGAAGAGGGATATGAGAAGAGGGATTTGGAAAGTGAGATTTGGGAAGAGAGATCCTGGGAAGAGGGATTTGGGAAGGGGGATCCTGGGAAGAGGAATTTGGGAAGGGGAATTCGGGAAGAGGGATTTGAGAAGAGGGATTTGGGAAGGAGGTTTTGGGAAGAGGGATCCTAAGCCAAGGACACACAGCTTGTCCCTTGTCATGGCACGGCCAAGCTCGTCCCTGTCACTCCCGGCTCTGTGGAGGTGACACCGGGACATCGGGAAGAGAAATCCTGGGAAGAGGAACCCCAAGAAGAGGGACCCCAAGAAGAGGGACCCCAGGAAGAGGGACACTGGGAAAAGGGAACCCCTGACCAGAGGAACAAAGCTGTTCCCACAGTGTGACACGGCCACACCCACCTGTGACTGTCCCAGCTCTGTGGAGGTGACACTGGGACCTCGGGAAGAGGAATCCCAGGAAAAGGGACACTGGGAAAAAGGAAGCCCTGAGCAGGGGGACAAAGCTGTTCCCGCAGTGTGACACGGCCACACCCACCCTGGCACCGTGGAGGTGACACAGGGACCTCGGGAACAGGGAACCCAAAGTCACTTTTCTCCCAACCACGGCACAGCCAATCCCATCCCAAATCCTCCTCCTCACCGAAATCCCCCTATTCCACCACCACAAAAATCCCGGAATTCCGATTTCCCCTCACCCAGGAGCAGGATCCCCCCCCCCCCCCCAAATCCCACAGCTCGGAGCCACAGCCAGGATGGGTTTGTTCCATAAAAAGGGTCAGAAAAATTGGAATTATTTCCTGTGTGAATCGTGTGAAGCTATGCTGATACCAGAGCCGGCAGGGAAGGGGTGGACAGGTCAGAATATTTATAATTTTTACAATAATATTTTAAATAAGAATATTTTAAATAAGAATATTTTAATAATAATGTAATAATAGTAATAGTAATAGTAATAGTAATAGTAATCGTAATAGTAATAGTATCATATCACTATAATTATTATAATTAACATAATTTTAAATAATATTATTAAATAGATACCATTACTAATATTATTTAATTAATGATGATTATTATTTAACGACAAATTTCTAAGCCAAAACCACCACGACCCCATCAACACCGACCTCCCCCCATCCATTCCCCCAGACTTCCCCAGCACAGGAAAAAAACAGGAAAATCCTTTCCCATCATCCAAAGAAAGTGATGGAGAAAAGATCCAGGGATAATTCCATGGACAATCCCGGTGGGATTGGGGTGCAGGAAAAGGGGGAGCAGCCCCCACACATCCCGATCCCACCATGTCCCACCTCGTGTCACCACTGTCACCCCCAAGCCCACCCGTGACCCTCCTGGCACTGTGGAGGTGACACTGGGACCTTGGGATGAGAAATCTCTTCCCACTTTTCTCGGGATCATGGAATGAGTTGGGTTGGAAAGAACCTCAAAGCTCATCCAGGGCCACCTTCCCCTGTCCCAGGTTGTCCCATCCAATGTCACCTTGTCCCTATGCCGGACATTTGAGGGGTCACCACTGCCAGCGAGGTCCCCACAGACCCCTCGGGGTTGTCCCCAACCTCATCTCAACCATTCCAAAGAAAAATCAACACCGGGAATGCCGGGCTCATCCTGCCACCACCTCTGAGAGCTCAGGGACACGGCCACCGTGATGTCCCCAATACAGAGGAGCCACCACAATGTCCCCAACACAAAGCAGCCACTGTGATGTCCCCAACACGAAAGAGACACTGTGACGTCCCCAAGGTGGAGGAGCCACACAACATCCACAAGGCAGAGGAGCCACCGCGATGTCCCCAACACGGAGCAGCCACCGCGACGTCCCCAATGCGGAGAAGCCACTGTGACGTCTCCAAGGTGGAGGAGCCACCTCAATGTTCCCAACGTGGAGGAGCCACTGTGATGTCCCCAACGCGGAGCAGCCACCTCAATGTCTCCAACATGAAGGAGCCACCACGATGTCCCCAACACAAAAGAGCCACTGCCACGTCCCCAGTGTGGAAGAACCACCGTGACATCCCCAACACGAAGGAGCCACCGCGATGTCCCCAATGCAGAGGAGCCACCATGACGTCCCCAACATGCAGAAGCCACTGCAACGTCCCCAATGTGGAGAACCCACTGTGACATCTCCAAGGTGGAGGAGCCCCCGTGACATTCCCCAAGATGAAGCAGCCACCGCAATGTCCCCAACATGAAGGAGCCACCGCGATGTCCCCGAAGCAGAGGAGCCACAGCGATGTCCCCAACGCAAAGAAACCCCTGCGATATCCCCAATGCAGAGGAGCCACTGCAATGTCCCCACCGTGACGTCCCCACCGCGATGTCCCCACTGCGATGTCCCCAACGCAGAGAAACCCCTGC